CACACACACACACACACACACACACACACACACACACACACACACACACACACACACACACACACACCTTAAAAGAAGGTTAGTAGCACCATCTGCTGAAATAAACCAGTACTGCCTTGTTGGTGAGTCTGTACTCTTGTTGAGGCAAAATAAACAGCAGATGACAAATTTAGGAACAGAGTGTTGAGTGTGTCGCTGTTGGGATTATTTTCTGCCACAGATGGGTTCATTTTGGCTGAATGTGTAATATTTCTATCTCAGGTTTCCTTTAAGTTAATAAAACTTTGATCTGTATGATTTTGATGTGAATCATACCTAAAATTATTTGACAGAGAACGTTTGCCCTTTTCTCTATAAGTGATCTGTGAATTCAAAAGTAACCAAACTATCTTTTAAGTCTTAGAATGACTCATTTCAGCTTAAAAACCCCCTTCAAAATCAAATGCTCGCTTTCCTTTGAGGTGAACCAGCAAAAAAGGAGACAAAAGAAATAGAAAAGGAACAGCTGGGTGTTGTTGTAAGACTTTGTGGGACAGTGTCCATTAATTTTACTGTATTTCTTTTCAGTTGTCCAGCAAAAGGCTGCAGAGTGCACAGGGAGCTGAGAATGATTTATTGCTGGAAAGCACGAGGTATAGGAGGACAAAACATTTGTCCKCTCAGTGACCAACATGTTGCAGGTGCAGCTGGTCCAACGCGAGCAGCTCCTTGTTGTGAGGAAACTCAGATGCACTCATCTGGAACAAGTTGCTGTTTGTGAAGCTGAAATGTTTGGAGGACTGAAACTGACATAATTAAAAATAAAAGCAGAAATAAATGGCCCAATAAATAAATACTCTTAAAATGCACCATTTAATTTGAAATGGAGAATTTTATCTCGTGTTTTATATTTTAATTGTCCTTCATGTTTATTTTCAATATCTTTTAGCACGTAATTAAATTATATTGTTTTTTCCTTTTACTTGTCGATGCGTTTGTGTTTCTTAATTGTTTTAAGTGAATTGTTTAATTTTTTCTCACAAGTCTTTTTATTGGTTTCTTTTTACATTTCTCTGTTTCCTGCTTTTACATTACCCTAGGCATTTCTCTCATTCTGCAAATAAGGTGGGCGGTCCTTCTTGGTTCAGCTCCTCTC